GAAGCTGGGTTATATGAAGAAAAACGTGGCATCAGGATTGGAGGAAGACTCATTAACAACCTGCGATATGCAGATGATACAACCTTGCTTGCTGACAGTGTGAAGAGGGCTTAAAACATATACTAATGAAGATCAAAGAGCACAGCCTTTGGTATGGATTACCTTTCATTGTAATGAAAACAAAAATCCTCACCACTGGACCAATAAACAACATTCTTATCCATGGAGAAAAGATTGAAGTTGTCAAGGACTTCATTCTTGTTGGATCAACTACCAACACAGAAGTAGCAGTCAAGAAATAAAACGATGTACTGCATTTGGCAAATCTGCTGCACAAGACCTTTTTAAAGTGTTGAACAGCAAAGATGTCAGCTTGAGGACTAAGGTTTACCTGACCCAAGCCATGGTATTTTCAATAACCTCATGTGCATGCAAAAGCTGGACAGTAAATAAGGAAAACCATAGAAGAATTGATGCATTTGAGTTATGGTGGTGGAGGAGAATATTTTGGCTGCCAAAAGAACTAACAGATCTGTGTTGGAAGAAGTGCAGCCAGAATGCTCCTTGGAGGCCAAGATAGCCAAACTTCGTCTCTTATACTTCGGACATAGTCAGGAGGGACCAGTCGCTGGAGAAGGGTATCATGTTTGGTAAGGTGGAGGGTCAGAGAAAAAGAGGTAGACCCCCAACAAGATGGATCGGCCAAGAAGCAGCATCGATGGACTCAAGCATGGCAACAATTGTGAGGTTGGCCCAGGATCGGGCAGTGTTTCGTTCTGCTGTGCATAAGGTCGCTATGAGTCGGTACTCCATGGCACCTGATAACAATAAAAGGAGGAGGTGACAGAGTACCAGGTCTAGCCTGAGAGCACCAGAAGACTGAAAGCTGGACTAGCTGGTCGCTGCAGGAACCTGGACGCAAACTCTCCATTCCGGGAAGATGTCTGGGTATCTCAGGGCAGCAGAGGGAGCAATGGAGTTGGCACCAGACCCCGCCCTCGAGACTACGCACTCCGCCCCTCTCCATGACGTATTTCCGCGTCATCTGCCGCCAATGCTTGTTCCCATTGGCTATTGGCAAGGCAAGGTGCGGAGCCGATTGGGGGTGTGGTAAAAGGCGGATAACTCGGGGGAGGCGGGGCGAGGCTGTCCCTTCCCTTCTCCACCCGGGTCCTTCCCCCGCCCTCCAGTCCCTCCCTGGGACGGCTGCGCGGCGCGCCTGAGAGCGCGGCGAAGGCGGTGGCAGCTCTTGCCTGCTCTGCAGCTCTTGCAGCGCACTTGTGTGCTTGCTCGTGGGTCTGCTTTAGTCCATGAGAACGGTTGGCTGAGGGACAGAGGGAGGGAATCCCGGGCTCTCGAGTAAAGCGCGCGCAACCACTCGCCCCGGCGGGGAAGCCCTTCTGCTCCCGGTGCGCTGAGCCGAGCCCTGGGCGGGTGGGGCAAGGGTCCCCTGAGATCGGCTCTGGCTCCTAAGCGCTGACTGCACCGCGCGGGCGCGCCTTGTTAAGCGGCCTCGGGTCCGGGGCCCTGATTTGGCCCCTTGACTGCGGGCTCGGGGCAGTGCAGAGGGAGGAAGCGAGAGGGGCCGTCTCCCCGCGAGTTGGAAGCGCCTTCCAAAATGCCCAAGAAGAAGCCGACGCCCATCCAGCTGAACCCAGCCCCTGACGGCTCAGCGGTTAACGGGACCAGTTCGGCGGAGTAAGTATGGGGTGGGCGGCAGAGGCAGGGACCGGGTAGGGAGGCCCCGCCGGGGCGCAGGGTGAGAGCTCTGAGTGCGCGGCACGCCGGGCTCTGCTCCAGTCGGTCACGTACTTCTCGGGGTGGCGGGGGGCGAGGCACTCCTGGCCGCTAAAGTAAGTATTGGTGACTAAGCACTGATTGTGCTCCCGACTCAGACCAGACGATGAACCCAAGCAGCCTCGCTTTCCCCCTACCCTACCCCCCATCCAGATCTTTTCTGTGGTCCCTGGCTACTGGTCCCTCCTCTTTCCCCAAGAAAACCAAAGCTGGGTTTATTCCCCTCCCTGTGGCAGTTTAATAAATGTGAACCTGTGGGAGTCTGGCCTCTTACTGGGACAAGAATGATGAGCGCATTTGCACCTTTGAGAATGGCTCAGGAAGTTGGGATCTATAAGCATCATCTTCGTACCTGACACCTGTGGTCCGGGATGGTTCAGAACTCCTGTGGCTTTCCCTTAGCCCGCTTGGGTTTTGGCCTTCTTCTTGGAAGGGAGCCCTTTTTTCTTCAGTCATTTTTCATTTATTCAACAAATTGGTCTTTAAACCAATGACCCTCCCTGGTTTTCCTTCCTTGACCGAGAGTCCTAAACCCCTCCCCTGAGACTGGAACACCAAGACTGTGGCCGTCACACACAAGATTTTTTCATATCTACAGGTTCTAGTGCTGTTCACAAACGAGCATTTTTATTCATTAAAAATGAGACTTTCATGGGGGTGTCTTGGGTCCTAGGTCAAGGGACAAAATCTGTGAGGGAGAGAGACCAGTTAGCTGGAGAAATAACTAGAAAAGATAAGGTTCTTAATCTTTCGCCCCCACACTGTAGACTTTAGGAAGCTAGCTGATAAAAGGAATTAAGTAGACCAGGACCTTCTGCCCTTTGTGATTTCTGCAACCTTTTTTCCTCTCTAGATTTTAGGAAAGCATTGGGACCTGTTGATTTGGTGGTTCTGTGTGCTCATTCTTCTAATCCTCACAAGGCCAGTGACCTCTGGTGTCCATTCAGCCAGATTCCTCAGACCTGCTTTTTTTAGTCCCCCACAAATTGGGCTGCTAACCTCAAGGTTGGCAGTTCAAAACTACCAGCGGTTTCGTGGGAGAAAGATGAGGCATTCTGCTCCCGTAAAGATTTACCGCCTCAGAAACACTGTGTAGGGTCACTACGAGTCGGAACCGACTCCATGGTACTTAACAACAACAACAACCCAATGAGGCTTTCTGCTCCCATAAAGATTTACAGCCTCGGAAACCCTGTGCAGGGTCACAGTGAGTTGGAACCGACTCCACGGTACTTAACAACAACAACAACCCAATGAGGCTTTCTGCTCCCATAAAGATTTACAGCCTCGGAAACCCTGTGCAGGGTCACAGTGAGTTGGAACCGACTCCACGGTACTTAACAACAACAACAACCCCCCAACACTGTAGTGTCTGATTTACACAATATTGATTTGTATGGGTCATTGGACTGTCTTGCAAACATTCATTCCATTTTCGTGTACAGTATTTGGTCCTCTTACACAGACTGAAAGATTCTCAAGGGCAGGGGCTCCTCATGAGCCCTCACTGTCATCTGGACAAGTTTGACCCTAGTGGATTCTGGCTGAACATTATACTGATAGTTAATTGGGAGATGAGAATTGAGTAGAAGTATCTGTTGTCATTCTGACCCAGTCAAAAAACCCACTGCCATCCAGTTGATACTAATTCATAGTCGAACCTATATAGGATTTCTGAACCACAGAGCTTGCAACTGGGTAGCCCAACCCCGAACCCACAGCACCATTAGGATTCCTTGTTGTTCTGACACTGCACCTGTACTCTTGCAGGGAATAGGAATTTTATTTAAAAAAAAAAAAAACAGCAGTATGGAGAGGATTAAAATAAACTGCCCTGGAGTTGGTGGCAGGGAAAAAAAAGTGGGTCTAGAAGGCTCTGAAGAGTAGTTAAGTGGTTGGGCTCTGGAGTCAGCCTAGGTTTGAAGCCTATCTGTGTTACTTGTGGTTTTGTGACCTGGGACAAGGTTCTTAGCTTCACAAAGGCGCAAGTTTAGTTTATTTCATCTGCAAAATGGGGGTAATAATAGAACCTTCTGGCGCTGCAGGATAATGCACTGGACCACCAAGTCAAACTCACCAACTGCTCCTCAGAAACCCTATACAGGGTCACTATGAGTTGTAACTGACTCTAGACAGCACTTAACAACAACAACAAAAATGGTTATTGTAGAGATTAAATGGAGGAATGCATATTTAACAATTGATAGATAGTAAACCATCCATAAATATTAGTTTATTGTGCTTTAGTATTGGGTATGCCAGGGAGGAGGCTAAACGAAATTGAAAGGTAATTTCCATTCATGGTGGCGCATGTGAATTAAGGTGTCTTTGCTCCTGGACAAACAACTCTCCCTAGCTTATTTTCCATGCCATCTGCATCTACCTCCCTGACTCACTGCTCTGTTACAATAGGAGGCATCTTTGTGTAGGCTGCCTGAGACAAACAGGGACTGTTCCTCTACATTTCCTGGCACTAACGATGGAGTAAAGGGGTTGGGGGTGGGGTGAGCTGTACCCACATCATCATCTTTTACCCTTGAGAGTTCTCTCGCAAAGCTTCCCCTATCAAGGGCTTGCAGCAGAAAGAACTCTTGTGTTCTCATGATTTCTCTGATTAGGCATAATTTTGCACATTATCATACAATGTGGACTAAAGAAGAAGCAATCCATTGAGAATAAAGAGTTCATAGTACCAAAATGGCAAATGCTTCTCCAGTGTGACTCCCTGACACCTAGGGAATTATATCCCACTCAGGGATGGAACTAGGTTATTATATAGGACCTGAAATTTATGCTAGTTATGGGAGTCCTGTAAGAAAAAGAATGCAGAAATATCTTCTGCAAGTTTTGGCAAAAACATGCGAGCTCCTTATTAGGGTCTTAAGTGTCCTGGTGTGGAGCTGTAGGATAAGCACTGAACCGCAGGGTCGGTTTGAACTGCAAGGCAGAAATCTTATATATAGAGTCGCTATGAGTCGGAACTTAATGGCACTTTTAACAACAACAAGTGTTAGCATAAATTGGAAATAAGGTTGTGGTTCCATTATAGTTAGAATAAAATGCAATGGTGATGCAAATGGTTAACTCACTTGACTGCTAACTGAAAGGTTGACAGTTTCAGTTCACCCAGAGGCACCTCAGAAGAAAGACCTGAAAAATCAGACACTGAAAACACTGGAGTTTGGGATTGCCATGACTTGGGGTGGTTGGAAAGTGGCAACTGGTATGTTGGACTATGAGACTCTGCGTGATGTGCCCACCCACTGTGGCCCCCCTCCTTTAACCACATTTCCTGTTACTTCTTCCGCTGCCCTGGCTCTTTCACTTCCTCCCTGGGATGATGTATACTCCCTTCAGGCCGTTGCACAGGCTGTTCCCTTTGCCTGGAATGAATCACCCTTCTTCCCTAGTTAGGGAGTTAACAACCTTCACCTCCCCTCCCCCCACTGAAATTTCATTTCCTTTGAGTTGTTCACAGACCATCACATCTAAAGTAGGTCCCTTTTTCTCATGTCACCTGATTTTTTAAGTGACAGTCAATGCTTATAATGAAGCTTTTTGCTCCCACAAAGATTTATAGCTTCGGAAACCCAGTTACAGGGACTCTGAATTGGAACGTAACAATATGGCACTTAACAACGACAACGCCATCCCAAATACTCAAACCCACTGCCATCTAGTTGATTCTGACTCAGCAATCCTGGGGGACAGAGTAGAACTGCTCCATAGGGTTTCTGAGACTAAATCTTTAAAGGAGCAGACAGCCTCATCCTTCTTGTGTGGAGTGGCTGGTGGGATTGAACCATTGACCTTAGTGGTTAGCAACCCAGTACTTAACCCACTATGTCAGCAGGGCTCCTTAATTACTTTTGTAAGTGCTGTTGAGTCAGTTCCGATCTGTGGCGGCCCTGTATAAGGTTTCCAAGATGCAACTGGTGAGCTTGAAATGCTGATCTTGCAGTTCCAATGACTGTAGTCCAGCACGTTAACCACAGCACCACACCAAGACTCCTAATTATTTACTTGTTGTTAAGTGCAGTTGAGTCAGTTCCAACCCATAGTGACCCTGTATAGGATTTCCGAGGAGCAGCTGGTGAGCTTGAACCACCAACCTTGCAGTTCAAATGGCTTTGCAGTCTGGCACATTAACCCACAGCGCCACACCAAGACTCCTAGTTATTTACTAGGGCAGTTAAATAACTATGTCTCCTGTTGTTGTTGTTGTTAGGTGCCATTGAGTCGGTACTGACCCATAGCAACCTTATGCACAGCAGAATGAAACACTGCCCGATCCTGGGCCAACCTCACTACTGTAGCCACGCTTGAGTCCATCGATGCTGCCACTTGGCCAATCCATCTCATTGGAGGTCTTCCTCTTTTTCTCATGTCTCCTATACACCATTAAAAAAAAACCCGAAACAAAATCCACTGTCATTGAGTTGATTCTCACTCAGTGATCTTATATCGAGTTTCTGAGACTAAATCTTTACTGGAGCAGAAAGCTTCATCTTTTTCCTGTGGAGCAGCTGGTGGGTTTGAACCACTGGCAATGTGTGAGCAGTCCCACACCTAACCCACAGCCCTACCAGGGCTGCCTCTTAGAATTTCTGCCCAGATGTGATATATGTCAGCTTTGATTAATAATCTTTGGCTAAAGTAAATCACACGGTCATGCTGACCTTCAGAAGGGATGGGAAAGTCCTAAGGGGCTTCAAAAAGTTTGTGGAAAAATAGAATAAACGATAATGGAATTTTCCACGAACTTTTTGAAGCCTCTTTGTATAGTCCTTCTGTTTTCATGGAAGGAAGAAATCCAGGAATGCATGAACACAAACGACCTCTACAAAATATTATGTCAGGTTTTTACCATTTTTTTTATAAAAAAACGAAAACATGCTTTT